AGCAATACATATTTCACCTTACAAAGATCTTCATCCTTCATCCAAGTGCGGTAAGAAAAGTTCTTTATCCTGGGAAATACGTGCCATCTACATCTTTCAGTTAAATGCAAAGTAGAAATGTCACTTTTATCACAAATACTTAGCAAAAGCCTCTTAGGGACAGGGATCTTTTCATTACCCAGATGGTACCCGATAGAAGCCCAATGATCTTCTGATTAGATGGATGGAATTAATCCCTAAGGAACTTGAACTATTTCTTCGGTAAGGTTTTATTTGCGCTGCCTGGGATAACATGATGACATTCCACAGAAATAATTTCAAAAAACTGTCTTCAGATACCATGGGAATACCCAAGGGAATAACAGGACATTTTCCAAAAAAAAAATTTTTTTTAAATCCAAAAAAATCTGATTTTGAAGCCTGACACAAAACAAAACTGGCCCTTCACCTTTCCCTTCCCTCATTCCCATTCCTACCACCCCTGCTTCCTCCGAAGGGAACAAAACCCAGCAGAAACCAAAGGTTTTAACTCACTGCCCTCTAGAAGAAAGCTATAAAGACATATTTTGCATATTCATCCCAGGGAATTCGGTAACAGAAAAACCTCAGATGACCACGTTGAAGCTTTAATCCAGAAAAAGCAGTCTTTGTAGTCAAAAAAGTACCCTTTCCCTCCTTATTGTATTCCAGGGCAAACCTTGTCATGAGCTTCTTTGGTTAATTAAGACTTCAAGGAAACAAAGGGAAAACAGCAAAGCTTTGTACAACACAGCCAAGATGATCACTGGACACTCCAGACTGACCAGGAGCCCAGTGTAACATTTGCAAATGTAACCTGTATGTCATACTTCATCCCTGTATATCACTATTACCACTATTAAGAACCATTAGGATCACTAATACAACTTCATTAATAGCACCAGTGATTTCAGCCGGAATTGCTACATCTCCATTTAACTAGATAACTCAGTTCAAAGTTACAGGATAGACTCTTAGCCTTCTATTTTTTTTTTTTTTTAAGAAAAAAAAAGAGCGGGGGGAGCTTTTCTAATTTAGATTTCATGGTCACTAGGAATCCTGTAACTTACTCCAGTCAAGTATGTCCTGAAACGGTAAATCACTTTAATGAATCCGACAAAAATGAATCTTAGCCTGCAGAAAAAAATGTAACATTAAAGAGAAAGACCCAAACAGACAAACAAACATGGAGTAGGGAGAGTTGAAAGTCAGTTCAGTAAGGATAACAAAGGGCTTTTTATTCTGGGGTCTGTCTCTAGAAAGACTGTAGGTGTGCTTCTGGGAACTCAAGAGTCCATCTGCTGCTTTACAGGCCGCAGTTGTATTGTGTCGATTCGGGGCTCTTATTTGGAGGCAATAAATTTCCACCAGAGAGAAGCCCCAGTCCAGCCCTGAGCCTTGCTGTTCACATCAGACAATGGAGCAGATCTGGCTTCCCTGGACTCTGGGCTTGGCTGCCCTCTGTGAATGACCCTGGGATTCTGCTGTTCCATTCAGAATTTCCAAATGTGAGCAGTTAGAAGCCCCTTCATTTCAAGAGCCTCATGGGTAGCTCCAACAGCAGTCAGCGGGAAAACTCTTGGAAACCCAGAAAGAGAAAGTTGGAGGAAAAGAACCAGGGGAGACCAAAGAAAACACAGCAACAAATCTTTCTGCAATTAGGAGAGCAAATAAACAGACAAAATGTCAAACTTTAGAACCCAAAGACTGAGACGCTATTACTGGTTTAGCAAATTTGAAAATTTGGTCTGTAACTGAAAGGCTGCCACCTGGGAGCTTGTGCATTGAACAGAAAGGGAATTTCCTTCCCGAGGCAGAGGTGGCTTAAATGAGCAACACGCCCCCCTCCCCACTCCCTTTTGCAGGGTTTGGTGTCTGTCTTTCTGTTTTTAAGCAGAAACCTCTCTGGGTGTAAACATGGCTTGCCACGCTCTGGCTCCATCTCCTCTCTCCAGTTTTGGGGATCATTTCTCATTGGAGAAACAGCAGAAGACAAGGAAAGGGCACCACCTTCCTAGGCACCACGCAAACACCCTGGTGCTAAACCTCTACCTTTTCCTGAGAGAGGCGCCCTGAAAACAGCTTTCTGCTCCCGTCCACGCCCCCTGGGACCAAAGCACCCTTGTGGTCACAGAAGAGCATGAAAGTGTCACGCGCAGAGGTGTGACTGCTTTTATCATGTTGGGGTCATTAATCTTTAGCCTTTTTTTTTAAAGATGTCCAAAAGTATCCATTTTTGAAGTCTTTCTCAAGGAGCAAGTTCGCTGTACTTGGGGCAAATTGGAGTTGGAATTTGAGGGGTTCCCACACATCAGCTACAGGGCTCACACCAGCGTTAACTGTTGAGCCTGCTGAGGTGCGCTCCTTCGTGGAACAGGCCTGGCACGGCTTCCGAATGGGCACCAGGGAGTCTCTGCCCCAGGTCACAGGGTGCGTCTCGGCCACCCCTCTTGGCGGAGGGGAGCACTGTGCCCCCAAATCGCCCCGGCCGGGGAGGAGTTAGTGGGCGTGGGCACCTCCCTTGTTTTCGCCTGAGAGAGACACTTGGAATCCCAGATAAGGAGCCATGCGCGGAGCCACGTGCGGAGCCCCGGGTTAGGGACTGGCACCTTGCTCGACCCTCTGTGTCCACTCTGCTGAAAAGGAAGGGCCATCCTGGTCGCGTCCCCGGAAATCGGGGCCTGAATCTAGGTCGGAGCCCAGGCGTGCCCCCCCCATCCAGGCTTTGCAGGCGGCAGCCGTTCCTCCCTGCTGCGTGCTGGGACGGGGGAGGGGGAGGGGGGCAGCCCCCGCCCCAGCAAATCGAGCAAAGGCTTCGGAGCTTGTGCTGCGTGAAAGGACGCGCTCTGCTTCGGGAAACGGCGCCCCCACATGGCGGCCTGTGGAAGGACGTCCGCGGGTGAGCGCAGTGGGCCGGCCCGGGCGGTGCATGTCCCAGATAGAGAAAGGGTCTTTGTCCATCTGGTGGCCTGCGAGGGTATGAAAGCCAAGCGACACCGCTGCTAGGGACACCCAACGGTCAGGACGGCCCCCAAAGCACGCCTGACCCGTATTTCCACCGAGATGCTTGCAGAGCCGTGGTTGTACCACTTACTGGGCGGCCTGATTCAACTTACTTAACCCCTCAGTGCCTCAGTTTCCTAGTAACCACTTAAGTACCTAGGACAATCATACAAAGCAGCCGAGTGGCATGGTGCATTTCACAATACAGGGCTCCCTGGGTCCCCTATAGCGTCTGCTGCACAGCCTTTCGCGTGTGACCGTGCTGATCTCGGTGAAGGGCTGTGACGCGCCCTTCTCCAGGATCCCGTGCCTTTCTGCAGTCCGGGAGACCCCAAACTTTCCGGCCCAAAAGCAGGACAGGCCCGTGGTATGGACATCGTGGACTGAGAAGCTAGTGTCCAAGTCCTGGTGGCCCGTGCTGGTTGTAGAAATAGGAAAAGCGCACAGGACACTCGTCGCTCTTCTTTACCTCTGGGAAATAACCGTCCGTAAGCTCCCTTGTTATATTCGCGAGTCTGGTGAAGAACCTCATTCTCCCTGCTCCTCGCGGACGCCCAGGGATCAAGGGACTCCGCACTTGGAGCACCCCCCCCCCCGCCCCCGGCGCAGGACAGCATCTCCGCCGGAAAACTCCCTCAGCTGGTGCTGGTTTAACCCAGCAGCCGAACTGTTTTGGAGAGATTGGGCAGGGGTCGGGGGCTCTCGATTTTCAGCGTCTTGAGGACAGAAAGCAGAGACGCAGGCTCGAAGCCAGAATCTGCATTCTTCGGGCCTGCAACACTTGGGTCGTGCGGGGAGGGCTGGGTCGGGTCACCGAAGACCCCAGCAGCCCCTGGTGAGTAGGGCTCGCGGCGCAGTGCTGGGAGCCCCGTGGGGTAGGCGCCCACCTCGGTTCCTAATAGTAAGGAGCAGGCTTTCCGTGCACAAAACGCACAGGTACTAAGTGGCCGAGAAGGGGATTCGCGTGGACTCTGCAAAACAAAACCTCGGGGAGGCTTTGCGTCCAACTACACGGCTGGAGGAGCCTAGAGACCACAGGGCCAGCAGGGCGCGGAGAAAAGTCCAGGGTAACCAGGGAGCGGCGGCGGGGCGCGCAGCTGTGAAGTGCCTGAAGCAATTGTACGGGGACGCGCGCGGGGAAGGCAAGAGGGGAAGGCGGCCGCGCATCGCCCGAACTGGCCTTCCGCACAGACAGCGACAGACGCCACAGGAGGTGGTTACCTGCTCCCGGCCCCCAGCAACAGCAGGCCGCACTCTGCACGCGTGCAGGCGCTCTGCAGATCTGCGCGGTGGAGAGGAAGGAAAAGGGAGGGGGCACGACCCGAGTAGGGAGGAGGACGCGGCGGGTGCAGGATGGGGTGCAGGTAGCGGGCGCGCATGCAGAAGGGCGCTCCGTGGGGCGCGTTGGCCCCGGGCCAGCAAGCCAAGCGGGCAGAACTCAGACCCTGCGTGCGGCCTCGTCGCAGACTCGAGCGGGACTCCTGGCGACCCCTGGCGGCGAGTGCTGCCACCCAAGGTCCCCAGACAATGCCCTGGGGTCGCACAGCTCACGGGCGTGTGGCAGAGCCTGGCTCAAAAAGGCATGAAAGGCTTTGGGCTCCTGGAGCCCCTGCTAAGGGTCCTCCAGGTGGAGGTAGTCCAAGGGAGGTGCGCTGAGGATGCTGGAGGTGAAGCGAGAGGACCCTCTCTGCTACTCGCCAGTCCATGGCCCCGCTCTTCCGCGTGCCCAGGAGCCGATCAGCTGTTAGCCAGGTTTTCTTTGGGTATTTTTTTTTTCAAAGTAGCTGAAATTTGGAAAGAGGAGTGTTAAAGCCTTAAGGTGCTTAAATTAGAGAGGGAAAGTTCAGAGCCAATTCAGGAGCAACTCAGCCTTTTGCTGCTCCCAGGTTTCAGAGGCCCAGATCTTGGGGTTCAAAAGGCATGCGCCCTCCCTCCGCATCCGCGCGCCCCGCTACCTGCACACCATCCTGCACCCGCCGCGTCCTCCTCCCCACTCGGGTCGTGCCCCCTCCCTTTTCCTGCCTCTCTACTGCGCAGAACTGCAGAGCGCCTGCACACGTGCAGAGTGCGGCCTGCGGTTGCTGGGGGCCAGCGCCAGGCGATCAGCAGTCCACGGCCAAGAACGGGTAGGAGATAATACTGAGTGGACTGTCGCCACCCACTCTTGAACCCCTTCCTCTAAACTATAGGGACCCCGCGACTTGGGGCGGGGGGGGGGGTCAAGGCTACTGCATTTTCCGGAAGGAAGGAAATGGGGTCGCCAGGGTCTGAGCCTGCAGGGGGCTCCCCGTGTCCCGGAAGTAATAACAGTGCGCCCCCCTTACACGTGAAAGAGCCTCGCTCTGTGGGGATAATCCCTTTGGATCTGCTCGGAGTGGCATTGGGGGGGGGGGTTGCAGGACGTTTCCTAACCTGGCCTCCTCTTCCCAGTTCACAGCCCTGTACCCTCGAAGACACCGGATATCCAGCTCTAGGAGAGTAGGGGTCAGCGCGTTACTTCGCCCCGGCCAAGCATGGCGCCCCCACCCAGTACGCGGAGAATGAAGGCGCCCACCCCACCGGGGCCGCTAGTAGCCTCGTGCATCTCCAGCCTGGGATTCTGGCTCTGCCCGCTCCGCCGGTCTCAGGCCGGGACCATCTTCTAGGCTCTGCGGAGCCCCTGCGTTAAGCGCAGGTCCGTGGTGAGCCGGTGAAAGGCCGAGTCACGCCACGCACTGAAGGTGGCAAACCCTCGTCTCCAAAAAGGGGAAGTGGTGAGCAAGCCTGTGCGACCCTGATGAGAGCTGCCGAGAAGTTTCCACAAGAGCGCAGTTTTCCAGGAGCTCCAAATGTGTGTGTGTGTGTGTGTGTGTGTGTGTGTGTGTGTGTGTGTGTTTCGTTTTCCCTATGAAGTATTCTTTACAGTCTATACATACTTCTAATTGTATTTTTTCCCTAAGAGCAGGAGGAATCGCACTGCATGGGCCCGGCAGCTGAACTTTGCCTAGAGATCCCGTGGGAAACCAAGTTCGCCTCGGGCGCTCAGGCCCCAGGCTAGAGCCCAGGGCACAAAGGGGCCGGGAACTCGGGCCTGCGGCTGCCCAGGCCGCCGTGGCGCCGTACAAAGCCGAAGCGCGAGCAGATGCTTGGGGCGGAGGCGCTGTGAAGCCGGCGCAGGGCCTCGCGGGGGGCGGAGCGCGTCTCTGCCGGGGCCAGGCTGCCAGGCCGCTCGCCCGTGCCCCCGTGTTCCCGACTCCCGCAGCCAGCGCCTCGCTACCCTCTGTGTGGCGCAGAGGCTGAGCCGGGCTGTTTTGTTTGTCGTTTGAGGCAATCGCGGAGCGCGCGCAGCCGCAGCGTCTGGGGAGGGGGCGCAGCCAAAATTTCCTTCCTGCGAGTGCCAGCGGCTGAGAAGGTAGTGACCGGCCCTCCTCGGATTACTCTTGTTGGCTCCTCCCCCACATCCAAATTTGCATTAAAAAGGCCGAGAAAACTCTGGCGGCGCCCCAGCCGCGGCTCACTGTGCTCCCCCGGGTCGGACCCCCCCGGAGCTGCGCTCAGGCTGCAGCGCCTGGCCCGCGCCGCCCTCCCCACGCCCGGCTTCGCGCGCTCGGGCTGCAGGCTCCGGCTTCCCAACCCCAAACCTCGCCGAGCGGAGTCCGCGGGCCCGGGACGTGTTCGGGCTCCCGCTGCCCCGCGCTTCCCTGGCTCAGCTCCCTCCACCCCGCGGGGGTCGTGCGCCCACGATGCCGCAGGGCCCCGGCTCGCTGTTGCTGTTCGTCCTCGCCCTGCACTGCTCCCTGGGCTCGGCGCGCGGACTCTTTCTCTTCGGCCAGCCCGATTTCTCCTACAAACGCAGCAACTGTAAGCCCATCCCTGCTAACCTGCAGCTGTGCCATGGCATTGAGTACCAGAACATGCGGTTGCCCAATCTGCTGGGCCACGAGACCATGAAGGAGGTGCTGGAGCAGGCGGGCGCGTGGATCCCACTAGTCATGAAGCAGTGCCACCCGGACACCAAGAAGTTCCTGTGCTCGCTCTTCGCGCCCGTCTGCCTCGATGACCTGGACGAGACCATCCAGCCCTGCCACTCACTCTGCGTCCAAGTGAAGGACCGCTGCGCCCCGGTCATGTCCGCCTTCGGCTTCCCCTGGCCCGACATGCTCGAGTGTGATCGTTTTCCCCAGGACAACGACCTCTGCATCCCCCTTGCTAGCAGCGACCACCTCCTGCCGACCACGGAAGAAGGTGAGCCCCCCTCTCCATTCTTTCTGGCTCTGCGAGGCACCGTAGAGGGACCCCTCAGGCTGGTTATCGCCACAAGACTGGATCAAATTGGAGACCCCTTGCCCTCGCCCTTTTATTCCCACCCCCAGTTACTCTTAAAAGGGACGGCACAGAAAACGGAAAGGTAGCTTTTCTCCTAGATGCACAATTTTTGCTAAAGATGCTGGGCCTGAGGCCACACTTCTGAGATCCTGCAAGCACTCCTGTGTGGGGAAGTTGGTGCGGACCCCAATCCGCACGTTCTTACAGCGAGAGGAGACGCTAGAGTCCCAGAATGTTCCCTGGACAGGCAGGATAACCAAGGTGTCCAAACAGGTGACCTTTGTGTCCCTGCTAGTGGATATGTGGGACGTGAAACCAGTACTGGTTTGGACTATTTGGAAATTGAATATTGGTTGTAACTGCCCAGGTGTTTGAGGGAGAGAACATACAAGGAATCTCCAGCGATCCTCTATCACTATCAGCTTTTATCTTAGGAGTGGTTTTAATTAGCTGGGGAAAAAATCATGCAAAAGAGTTTCCCAAGATTTTAGAAAACAGAGGGGAGTTTCTGAGCAAAAAACCATCAAAGCAATGAAAACCTCATGGGCCTTTGCTAGTTTTCCTGAAAGGAAAACAAGTATACAATGTGTTAGAGCTTATTTAGGTCCCTGGGGATGGAAGGAGGCTCCCTAATCCCCTTCGGGCCTTCGCCAGCATCTCCCTTTCGGTCTCCAATTGTTTTCCTACAGACATCATTAGTTAAAGAAAATGCAAACTTGTTTAGCAATCTTTCCTGGCAGGCACCATGAGTTTGCAATCATCTTGTTGGTTAGATTTCTAATTTATTGCAAATGTTTGGCATTTTTCAAACATTTGTCCAACATATACCATAGACTAACCAATACAGGTTAGTAACAGTTTATATACATCCAGCTCCTAATTGGTAATGTTACATTTGGGTTGGATGAGGGGAATTAGGGCAGCTTTGTATGAGATGCTTTTCTTTTTGCTTCTTTCCACTGTTAGCACTAACTTTATACACTGTGCATTTCCCAAAAAGTCATTTTCCTCCTTCAAAAGTGTATGTTTTTCATATTTTGCTCTTTGTGATTTTTTGACTTGTTTGGTAACTCTTACAAGTCGCATAAAATTCCATCTAATTTAAAGACAGCATTAGTACATTTATAAATGAACACCTCTCCCCCCTCCCCCCAAGAAATCAGGTTCTTTTAGAAGAGGCTTTGGCGGGCTTTTTGCAAGCACACAGAATTCCTAGGTTTGGTCAGCTCCCATGGATAGCTTTGCTTTATCTTTGATTAACTTTGGGGACAGGTTTTTGTTTTGGGTTGTGTTTTGTTTTTGTCTGTTTTGGACATCTGAAACAGGAAGCGAGGGACCAGAAGAACCTGTACCAGGATCCTGGTGAGTGATGCAGTAAATTCTGCCTGACACAAGCACAAGCTTGGCAGAAGGTCTGAGGAGGCCCTCAGAGCAACTGGTGCAATCAGGGAGGTGTGTTTCCAAGATGGAAGCAGCCTACAGGCCCTCCTCACACCAGCCAGCCACCTTTTCCGGTGCACACCTGAAAATATCTTGAAATGACTCCCCTGTGACATGGAGCTCTGCTACAGAGAAGGGCCTGCAGCTAAGGATGACCATCTTTTGGCTGTATTTTATGGTCATGAGTTTTTCCAAACACTCTTGGGATCTTTAACTCTTTCTTCTCAGATCTTGTAAATAACATTTGCAGACTGGATTGGTGGTGGCCAGGGGAAGGTGACCAAAAAGCTAACTGTCCCAATTACCTAGGGGCACACACCTGCAACTCTACCCTCTACTTCCTTTGTATTTGGGAATCATCATTTATGGAACACAACACGTGGCATTTTTTCATTTTGAGCCAGCATAAACAGAAAGCACAAAGCCTTCTTAGGGAAGAGTGGCCCTCCTTTTACAGAGAAGGCAGGAGCCCGGGGTCGCTCAGGACAATGCAGCTCTTGCCTGGCTTGGCCCCTTTGAGTTGTTGAAATGCCACCTGCTGTTCTTTTCTAAAGCAAACTTACTAATGACTGTTTTCCCCATTTCTAGCTCCAAAGGTCTGTGAGGCCTGCAAAACTAAAAACGAAGATGACAACGACATAATGGAAACTCTTTGTAAAAATGATTTTGGTAAGTAATAGACCAAAGACCAACAACAGATTTTACCTTCAAGAGTTTTATTTGTCAGTAAAACTCAACAAGTGCCCACTGCTAGGTAATCTTGGTTTCCCCTTGTGTTACTCTATCTTTTTAGGAGAAATCCACAATTCCTTTCAGCAATAAATAATGAGAATTAGTTAAATTATCAATGTTTGGTGGCACATTTGAAATCTCATTCTGGCTTTTTCAGGTCATTATGCATGATCCTGAGCCTTATCCTTTCTCAGTCACTTGACATGTGAACCAGGGCTGAGACTACAAATATTAACAGCAAAACAGGTTCCAGGCACAGCTGGCTCAGATAGAAACTTACCCTGGCATCAAATAAAAGTATTACTTTATTTGTAACTCATGATTTGCTCCCCTGTGTTTCATCATTAGTGAATAACTCCAATCTCACACTAATAATTTGTGAAAGAACAGTTCCTTAAATTTAAAAAAAAAAAATGTTTTCCAGAGAAGACACCTAATATGGACTTTTACACAACCTCAAATCACTATCCTAAAATCCTGCTTAAAAGATTTTGTGTGAGAGAAAAGTTCTTATGAATAAGTCTAAACACAGTTGCCACATTTTTGCAAATAGGAAAAACAAAAAGAAAACAAGCTTAAAAATACATTAAAGATGCCATGATGACCAGGTACCTGGGAACAATAACAAAATGTGTGACACATGCTACCCAAATTCCAGAAAGTATATGTCCCTTAGGAAAGGATTATAAGAAAAAGAGTGGAGACTTTAACTCCACCTGCATCTTATCTGATGCCTTCAGGCCCCAGGTGATGGAGGAAACACTTGTTACACAAAAAGGATCAGGGTAAGGTCAGGGTTAGAAGTGGCCAAAAATGTCACCCAGACTCATGAATTTGTTGCCTTCTTCCTGTTCCAAGGCAGGCACCTTGTGCTTGATCAGAAGGCTTGGTACCTCTTTCAAGTATTATACTCAGGCGGAAGTCAGAAGTTTCTGGAAAACAGATACGGTCCCTGCCCTACCCATCAGTAATAGACTCTCACCAATCCATATTAACATTTCAACAAACTTAAACAAATCCCAAGTCTGAAGGAAATCCTACCAGCTGCCACTGTTCACAGCCATCCACTCTCCTTGTATTACTATCCCTGAAACATCAGCGAAGTCATTCCCTGAACTCAGAATAATCCAGTCACTGTTCTGAGTCAGCTCCAGGGTCTTCCAGCAAGGCCCTGGGTTTAACCATGGCTGCTTGCAGAACAGCCCTAGCCCACCAGGAGGAAAGGTTTCCAGCTGGTGAGGAAGAGGTAAGAAGGAAGGCAGCAGACAGTCCTTGCAGACTCTTCCCATTTGGAAGAATCAGGGCTGACAGGGCTTGATCCATCAAGGTATTCAAACGTGCAGACCTCGTACTCTCAGAGGACCAAACATGTTAGCAGCAGATAATCCCAAATCAGCAGAGTTTACCAAAACAGTTCCTAGCGCCACGCCTCAAGACATGTTAAGGGCAAGACAGATAAATGCCATTGTAGTGAAACATAAAAAACCCTATGTCATATCATTTTCTTCTGGGAGCTTAGTCTTTTGCACTACATACACAAATACATGCAGTATCTTTCTCCTGACTTACTTGAAAATGTTGGTTGTTACAGACTCCCAAACAGCTGAATATAGGGGGCACACACTTGCGTTTTACTTGCAGCTTCCTTTATAGAAGGCCCCATTAGAAAGATACACAATCAAGATCTGAGAATAGACAGAGAGAGAGGAGAGTGAGTGTGGAAGTCACTACACTCAGGTATCATCCACATAGATCGGCCTTGTCTTCTGTATTTCCACTCTGCTTTTGTCTGACAAGGGAACAATGAATTTCAGGAAGTGCGTTATGTACTGTACTCTTATGTGAATGCTCTGAGCAGTAGGTTGTAGGAACAAGCACAGAGATCTAGGTTGGTTTTCTGTTTTGTTTTCTGGGTTTGTTTATTTGTTTGCTTATTGGTAATACTGGAGATTGAACCCAGGGCTTCTGCCTTAAGCTACATACCCTGCCCATTTTACTCTTATTTTGACACATAGTCTTGCTAAATTGTCCAGGCTGGTCTTAAACTTAGGAGCTTGTCTCAGCTTCCCAGAGTGCTGGGATCACAATTGTGCAACACCATGCCTACTAGCAACTTGATTCATTTAACATGAGTCATCCAAAGAGGCACCAACTCTTCCCCATGGCACCTGGAATACAAGAGAAATTTACAACGCCTTACACCAATACAGTCAGCACTTGTAAATAAAGAAAGGCCTGGAATCACCTTCCCGTGTACATAGCACATCACTGGATTAGGTAGTGTCATCACCTCTGTCTCCTCCCGTACCACATTCTGAATACCCAGGCATATCTCAAAGGGCAGTAAAGTTACTCTAATTCCTTAATATTTCCTCACTGTATTATGGACTTGCCAAGTTGGTTATTTTAAAGCTAGAGAAAGATGGGTAATAACTCTCCTCTTGGCAAAAAGTGGTTATTTTTCTAATGTGCCAACTCAAGAAAGTTTCATTTGATCAAGTAAAACTTGGGAATATATGATCAGTACATACTGCTGTCACATGTAACGGGTACATTTCTCCCACCCTGCAGGCAGGGGTCATCCAGCACCCCATCCACTAAGCAGAGGTGGCAGGAACACGTGAAATTTGTGTGTGGCTTATTCTGTAACTGATGCCACATAAACTGAGAACTCAGTACTCTGGTTGAGATGCAGATCAGACAAAACTATGGTGGCAAAGTCACAGTATCCTCGATGCACCCTGTTGCAGATCTGTCATTTCTCAGTCAGTTTGCTTAGTCCAATTCCCTGTTGATGTTTCAAAAAAGAAAAATGGAAATCTCAAAGAGTTCTAAACACAGGCACAAAGCTGTCCAATTACTGCTTTAAACAATGCATTAATTTCTATCAAAGTCAAGAGGTGACACTTGCATATGACCTGTACAGGACAGTGGCTAGTGGCCAGCATCTGAGGACACTGGAGAAATTTAATGTTGAAGGTGATCTGGGGACTCGCATCTGACACTAATTGGCTGACCTAAGAAAAGCCACTAAACTCAGGGATTTCAGATTCTTTTTGTACTAACAAAAGACTGTCATGGAATGGCTCTTTCCAACCTTAAAATTCTATTTCCTGCCTTTGTACAGTCTTGAAATTTACTCCAACATATATGTTTCCGAGACTGAATAAGTTCACGAGTATAAAAACTTTTACAGTAAACCACTTACTTTTGGCCTTAACATACTAACATACACATTTTGGAAACAGTACATGTATGATCTGTAAACGCCTTGGCCTTGGACAGGCCATTGAGAATATACAGGGGGTGAGGTCTTCAAAACACTTTTATGGCTAAACATGTTGTGCTCTTAAAAGGATCTTGCATATTTCTCTTCTCCTAGTTACTTTACCAAATCAAATGCAGCTGCAAGATCAATTCTCCTTCCCTGAAATCTGTTCTTTAGAAAACAGTGATTGTGTGATACAATTTCCTTACAGGTTTGTCCAAAAACCTCTCTGATAGAATAAATTGAGTTTAAAGTTTACAGCCACAGAAGGATCATGTTTCACCTAGGAAGCAGGCATACCTTTTCATGCTAAAGGTTCCCACAGGGGAAGTCGTTTGCTGGGGAGAGCATGAACCCACTCACAAACTCAAGGGCAAGGAAAGGAGAAAAGTTAATTAAGTCCTGCAAAGACAAAGTTTGGAAAGGATGGCTGACCTGAAACAAAGTGCCTGATAAACTCCTGGAGGCTTTAGAAATAGACCCATCCGGGGCTGGAGATTTAGCTCAGTGGCATAAGCGCCTGCCTTGCAAGTAGGCCGTCGTGAGTTCCATCCCCATTACCGATAAAAAAGGAAAAAGACAAAAAGAAAAAAGAAATAGACCCACCTGCTGCTCCCAGCTCTAGCAGTAGACCCCGACCTTCAACCCCTGAGGTTTCATTACTTCTAGGAAGTTCATTTCCCCTCCCACAGGCCAAATTGCATGGGTACGCAGCAGAGAGGAGGAGGGAAGCTGCACTGAATTCCCTAGTGGTAATGTGTGCTTCTACCATTCTTATCTTCATAGCGCTAAAAATAAAAGTAAAGGAGATAACCTACATCAACAGAGACACCAAGATCATCCTGGAGACCAAGAGCAAGACCATTTACAAGCTGAACGGTGTGTCCGAACGGGACCTGAAGAAATCGGTGCTGTGGCTCAAAGACAGCTTGCAGTGCACCTGCGAGGAGATGAACGACATCAACGCACCCTATCTGGTCATGGGACAGAAACAGGGCGGGGAGCTGGTGATCACCTCGGTGAAGCGGTGGCAGAAGGGGCAGAGAGAGTTCAAGCGCATCTCCCGCAGCATCCGTAAGCTGCAGTGCTAGTTCCGAGGTCCCAGAGGCGGCAGAGCTCACCTGACCGTTTCCGTTTCCGTGGACCGGTTTCACCAGAAACGTCATTTCCAGTTTCCCAAGCACAGTCCAGTGTGCTCTATCCCCAGCCAGGAGCCACTTTGCCTGCCTTTGCACATAACAATCCCAGTATTTCCTGAGTTACCCAGCCCTAGGAGGCCTCGGGAATGGATATCTGTTTCCATAGAAAGGAAAAACCCAAACTAATACAGTCATGAATTTTTTATGAATATTTACATCGACTCATTTGAAGGCAATTTTGAATAGATGAGACTGTGACTTGGGTCTGTGTTTTGTTTTGTTTTGGTTTTGGTTTTTGCCCACCATTTGGTTGAAATCAGCTGATTTTTACCGCACATTGAGGTGGCCATAACATGCAAGACGCTTCATGTTTCTCTGTGGCTGGAACCCACAAACATGGGTTGCAAACTTTGTTGGGATAAAGCGGGCTGTTATCCTGACCTCTCCTCAGCGCCAGCCTGAGAGGCACTAAGAATCCACTTACCATTTTACGCCCTCACTAGGAACTCACACAGTTGCATGTATCACATTCCAGCTGCAGTATTTCCATTTATAAAAAGCACATTAATCAGTTTTCATAGCATGATTTCTTCAAGTAAAGGGCAAAGTAAATAAGTTTTTTTAATTGACGAGTACGTTAAGCCTTGTTTAAAGCATTTTTAAACTTTTTTTTTTGCAAATAAAACCATTGTAGCTTACCTGTAATATACATAGTAGTTTACCTAAAAAGTTGTAAAAATATTGCTTTAACCAACACTGTAAATATTTCAGATAAACATTATATTCTTGTATATAAACTTAACATTCTGTTTTATCCATTGTCTTCTGTCTTTTCTTCCTACAGGGAGCTGAGAGGGAGTTATGTCTCTGGTTAGAAGATCCACCCCTTAGCCCTCCAGCCCCTGAAAATCATCTGCTTCTCAAGGAACTTGGGCAGTTTGCCCCCTAAATTACTCTACCCTCCCACCTTGTACCTCACAAATCCTATGGATTTCAGCAACCCTGATCCTGCAAACCAAAGCACAGACACTGAAGGAGTCTTTTGCCCTCTTTTGGTTCAGCTGTAGTTGTGTGGCATCATTAGTTTAAACTTGTTTCATGAGCTCTATATATGTTTTCTGCTTTTCATTTCCTGATATTTTTATAATGACTAATTGCAAAAGAAGACATTCCTTCATAACTTAAACTATTTCCCTAAGAAAAAAGGCCATGATTTAGAGATTAAGGAGGGAATGGTGAAAAACTGGCATTTGGATAAAAGACAGAGACACCCATTGGCAAAAGGTTTGGCATAGTCCATGTGGGCTACTACAACAAATCTACTTACAATGAATAATTTACATTTACTTCTCACAGTTCTGGAGGGTGGGAAGTCCAAGATCAAGGTACCAACAAATCAGGGATCTGATGAGGGCCCTGCCCCATAGATGATGCCCTTTGATTATGTCTTTGCGGCGCAAAGGTGCTGATAAACAAACTCCCCAGAGGCCCCCTATAGGGACACTAATCCCATTCTCAAGGGCTCTATTGTTATGACCTAGTCACCTGCTAAATGCCTTTTCTAATCCCCTGGCCCTTTGGAGGTTAGATTTTAACATAAACACTTTAGAAGGAGAAACACTGAGACCATGGCACTGTCCATTCAAATTCTCTTTACTATGGAGCCTCCATAGAAATTCTATTCTATTCCCAAGGAAACTGAGACTCCCAAGTTTAGGCAGCAAAACTCATTAGCAGAGCCATGGCTAAAATTGACTTGGAGAATGTAGTGCAGAAATACCGAGTACCCACCTACCGGACATATAGTTACTAGTGTCAGGCATACAGACATTAATCTTTGTTTTACACAGTTCATAAGGGCTGGGGATTTAGCTCAGCGGCATACGCACCTGCCTGGCAAGCACAAGGTCATGAGTTCAATCCCCAGTACTGCAAAAAACAAAAACAAACAAAACTACACAGTTCATATGATGGAGTGAAGGAGACCTTTCACAACTAAGCTATATAAAGTAAGAATACAGGGGTATGTGAGCATTGCTCTCTGTCAAATCTGAATTTTTTGGTGACATTCCTATGAAGCCTTCACCTGATGGCATTTTACTAATTTGGTTGAAGTGTTCTGCACATCCGTTCATGATCTCCATACAGAGCTGCAGGTTCTTCTGGCATCCAAAATCAACAATCCATGGCCACGCAGCTCAGTGGAAGCAGTCCACCTCATTTGCTCTGCATTGTTACCTGATTCTGTTTCTCATCTGATTCCACACAAACACAGGGCTCATTCTGCTCCCCAGGGATATCTACAAAAGCACTTGGGGTATCATGGGCCAGTGTCAACATTCATTTTAAACATTTGGGATGGGAGACTGTGAGCCCTGAAGAGAGCAGAAAAAAAGAAGTGAAAAGGTAAAAGAAACTGAGGATAACTTAGTCTACTAAGGATTAGGAATCAGAAAGGAAAAATATATACAATGCACCAAAAGCAATGGAAAGAAACATTTTGGAAAAAACCAAACTGTCTGAATGCCCCCTCTCCGATCAGGGCAAAAGTTACATGCACATATAATGGGATGCAAAAACTTAGCTCCAGAGAGCAAGTTAATACCAGGCAAGGCCTCCTTCCGTCATGCCTGGAGCAGCTCCAGCTCCACATCAGCCAATGCTTCCCTCCTGCCCTGCACTTCTGTGTACTTTCCAGGCCCACCCCCAGCCCTACTCCACCTTGCCTCTTGTTCCTATCTTTGATGAGAGTGCACCCAATAAAGCAGGCTTGGGACAGGGCAGATAGGTTTTTCTTCGATTTATTTTATTGTTTTCCATGATGATTCAAAATAAATGTGGCTTACTTATTCTTGAGATACTCATGATTGTATTTTGAATTACTTTTTCAGTGATCCCATTTCTTTTGTAAGCACATGAAAATATAAATGCTAAACAATTATTAAAATACAGAAACTGGTAATAGGGACTCCAGATTTCTGAATTCCCTAAAATAATTAATGACTCTTTGATAAATTTAATGTGGCCAAAATAGAGAATCTGCTGAAACAGAAAAGTGAAGAGAAATGAAAACTAGGCACTCAGCACATTTTATTCCTCTTCCTATTAAAAAATAGCTTGAGCGGGCTGGGGATTTAGCTCAGCAGCGTAAGCACCTGCCTTGCAAGTGCACAGTCATTAGTTCAATCCCCGGTACCAAAAAATAAATAAATAAATAAATAGCTTGAGAAATTAATTGCTCTAAAATAAAAAATTACAAGAGGTTTCAAATAGCATTTCTTAAATGATAAAGGCCACTGTCCACACGCAAAAATCAGGATAGTGAAAAATCACATGATTAAATAGAATTGGTTTTACAGTAAAATACCCTCCATTCTTTATGCTGTTCTCTCATCAGGTAATAATTCGGTTGGATTTTCTACCTTTCAACCCTTATTTGCTATTGGTATCAAGTTTTCAATGTTCTTGCATTGGCATTGTGTGGTTAGAGGCATTGCCACGAAAAGCAAACCCAGACACAAGCCCCCTTCAGGTGTGCCCAGCACAGTGTCTGTGAGTCACACCCAGCTGGCTTGCCTGGGCCACACTGAGTAACGAAGAATTGTCTTGAGTCACACATACAATATGTAATACATTCACTGTGTTATAGATAAGTAACAAAATTCCCATTTGTACATGTGTGTTTTTATGCTATCACAAGTTGACCCACCAGCTACAGGTTAGACATGCATGCACATGCAGAGACTGTTTTCAAGTGAGGAAACAATGAGCTTTTTTGCCTATGAAATATATGCTCCAAATTCAAACTAATTCTTTGTTGTTGTTTTGTTTTGGTATCAGAGAGCGAACTCGCAACCTCATCCTTGCCAGGCTGGCACTTATAACGCTGAGCTAAATCCCTGGCCCCCAAACTAATTCTTGTACTCAGCAAATATTCACTGAATACCAATAACTGACAATAACATAGTCAGTTAATAAACACTGGTTACATATCCACAAAGCTAGGAGGTATATTACGTAATGGTCACAGTGATTCTGTCCTCTTTAAACTTTATTCTGAGTGAGGAATGGTGCCAGGCTCTGATACAGGGATGGGCCCCTCCCAGAAGGATCTCATAATCCAATAAAAGAGAATGGCATGCAAACAAATAGTTCCAATATACTACATTAAGTGAGAAGAATAAGATATGTACAAGACCCACAAATGGCACAGAGGAGAAAGTGGTTAACTTGGGTAAAAATAGAATGCTTGGATCCAGTTGAGCTTAAAATCAAGGCAAAAGTACTTCCAAGCACAAAATTCCTCATTACCACCAGAATATCTTCTATTAAGACCAAACCTTAGAAGTTGTTTATCATCAGTTTGTATATTGACCAATCAAAACTTGTACAGTGCAACTAGGATGCTGAAAACATTATTCTACCACTACAAATAAATCTAGCATAAGAAGCATTTTATAACACTAAAAAATTCTGACAAAAGAATCAAACAATCATTCATTTTCATTAAGTAGTCATTCATTTCTGCCATCATGTAATTAAGTGAGCAAAGCACCACAACTTAGCTTTAGTAGCTGGGTCCCCAGTAGAAATATGCCTCTCATCCTCTGCAGCTCCTCATGCATACGTGTTCTCTCATGTGTGCCCCCACACAAATGTAGCTCTGGCAGAAAACCTAAAACTACACAATCTAAAATAAACTATAATAAAATAATCTATAATTATAAAAAAACATTTAACTGCCTAGAAACAGCAGTAAAAGTAGCAAGCACCTTGGCGTAGCTTTTGAGGCTCAGAGATTTGGCAAGTCCATAGACCAGGCCAATCTGAGTCTGCCCACCTATCAGTAAGAATCGTTACTAAGCAAGCTATGCCTAAGCTCGATACAAGCTCATCCCCACTCCTTTCCATCCTCTATTTGGAGGGAAAATCAAAAGTGTGGTTCTCAGAGTTTGTTTCCACACTGGGAGACACCACAGCGGAATGAGTACCAGTCTGCAAACACCACCACCACCAGTTCCCCGGGCGTTGCAGTTTCTTAGCCACCATGGATTACTCAAAGTGGTAGAACCCAAGCAAGGCCTGGTAAGAGGAAATAATACCACAAATACTTTCTACTCCTCCCTTCTTCCAAAGATCTCATTCTGCCCCTCAAACAGGACTCAGGCTCTGCACTGTGCTGTCTTCTCCTCACTAGACTTTGCTAAGTAGCGTTGATCTTCCAGTCTGCATCAGGTAAGAGCGCTGAGAGTCAACTCATCAATCACTCAACAACCTTACCCTGAGTCCCTACTCTGTGCAAGACGCTTTCCTAGGTGCTAGTGTTCTAACAATGGCCAACACATAATGGATACACTTGGAACAGACAAGAGTAACTGGGACACCAATTTCTCCAAATCCTTAGCAAGATTTTCCTGCCCTCTATTTGTTCTTCAGGGTAAAATTAAGTTCACTATATAAGTCAATTTTCCATTGCTATGACAAGAGATAATAAATATGAGGAAAGGCTTATTTTGACTCATGGCTGCTGAGGTTTCAGTGCATGGTTTCTTGACCTTGTTGCTTCAGGCCTGTAGTGGCACAGCACATCATGGAAGGAATACCTGGCAGAAATTCCCTAAATGCATTTGAAGTTTAGGTGAATGAAAATGAAAACACAACATTTCAAAATGTTTAACCTGTGACTCAGAAGAAAATCATTGTAAAGGACTATAGCAAAGGAGATCTCAAATCAATAATTTCACCTAATGTTCCACCTTAAAAAGTGAAAAGCACAAACTAAGTCTAAAGCAAGCTGAAGAAATAAAATTAGAA